ACTGCACTTTTCAAAAATATGCAAATTCTGAAGATTCAAAGGCCAACTGACATTTGCATTTTTGGCTGCCATCAATCATCTTAGCAGACCTCTTTGGAAACAGAACTTTACTTTGATGGATTTACAAGCGAACACCTAAAATGAAATCTCATTTGCCTCCAAATCTTCTACTTTAATATATCAACTTCATATCACTGTTTGTCACTACGAATCTATTTCAGTTTCGGCATTTCTTTTTTCTTCTTTTTTTCACATACACGTCCATTTACACTTCAAAACACCACTTGAATTTTATGCTAACCTTGTGACTGAATTACATAATTGTCAGAACAACAGCATAGCCAAACACTAGCGTCAAACTGTTTTTTGTATTTCCAGTGTTTATTTGTAGTTGGAGAAGCTCCGGTAAGTGATCATTTAAACCTTACTTCTCCAGTGGCCACTGATGTCTGAGAACCATAATTAGCTCCAGTAATGGACACCTTTTTCATTTCTCTAGAGTGTCCGCTTATGAGAGCATCCACTGTATGTACAATAAGTACATTATAATACCTTTAGTGGAAGGTGAATTACTAAGGTAAGGCAAACAAAGCGCTTATGTTTATCATCTCCTGTGCTTGGATGAAGCATGACACTGACAATTGTAGGACTGAAAGAGACGTACAATGTTATGTTTAGATGGCAAAACACAACTTGATCTTGATTAGAATATTTCTTAAATACTCTTCTTAAAAGGTTATTATAAAGTCAGTCTTAAGTTCCATTCAAAATTATTACAGTACCAGGACATACTATTTGACTAAAAATAGCATTCTACAACAACAACAACAACAACTTTATTATGAATCTGAGTAGTTTACAAAGTAAAACTAACATAATAATTATAGCAAATTACAAAACAATGGTATCTTTACAATTTACGAAAAGATAACATGAATTGAATAAACCTTACATGACTGTCCCTACCCACAAATAGCACCAGCTAATCGCAGTGTGCAGTGACAAAAATTTAAAAAAGCCCAGAAATAGTTAAAAGTAAAAGTGTCTAAACGAATAAAGAATCCAAATGAATGAATAAATAAATAGCATACAAAGAGAAGTAACTAGTTAAATGAAGTACACACCTATATATTTACTAGCTAAATTACAGATAGTTATTTAAACAGGAACACATTATTACAGACCATGCGTTCTTTGAAGAAGTGTTGCTGAATCAATATATTATCTTCAGTGGCAAGGATTTTTTCCTTAAATTACTTTCGAGACAGTTTATGAATAGAGGTACTCAGAGAATTCCAAACGATGGTACCAAATCTAGCAACAGAATTCTGCACGATGTTTAATCTAGATGGTTTCACATAGAAACTTCCAGCAGAAGCTGATCTTGGTATATGAATGTATTTTTCTGGAATGAGTAAATGCGTCACAAAGGTTTTCCTGTGTAATATCGTTTGAAACATCATGCATGAAGACGAAGACTGCTTTTAAGTAGAGTAGTTTCATTCTTTCACAAGTGGTCAATTTCAACCTATAATATTTTTTTTAAAAAAACAACAAAGGTTGAAAATCTTACCATTGTTAGTAATGGTTTGTCTTAAAGGTTTGTTTTGAATCAAGTGAAGATAGTAAAAGTAATTTCTCCTTAAAATATCACTGCTTAAAAAAAACATTGAATTTGGTAATAACTTTATTACAAACTAATTTTCAAAAAAGGGAAAAGTGAGCACCCTGTTTAAAAGATACTGTCCACTATCATAAGTACATGTACTCTCCCTTGGCTTGCCAATGCTGTTGCTTTAACTGCAGCAGGATTAGCTCTGTCGCTTGACTGCAGAGCGGGAGGTGGTAGGTTTGATTCCCGTGACCCGACCATAACTTGGGGTCTTAAAATAACTTAATAATAAATGAAGGTCCTGCCTTTGCCCTGCAAACGGCTAGACCTTCATGTTGCTCAAAAGACCATGTAAAGTAGTGGTACCAAATCCAGTAGGGAACGTAAAAATAGTGTCCTCAAAAATAGTATCCTAAATTAGTACCTGACCACTAATGTGTTAAACACATTGACACTAAAGTAAAGTGCATTTTTTAAAATGTTGGTCCACAACAGATTGATCAGAACCATCAATGGCAGATCCAGGCCTAAATGTACTTGAAAGGGAGAGGGACCCCATCCCTGCAGGCCTGTTTTTCGGTTTGAATCTGAGGGACAGTCCAAATCCCCAGGGCTGTTCCCTGTATATGCCATTACCAATAAATAGCTCAAAATAGAAACATTTTATAATTTTTACTTGTGAATAAGAATTATTATGGGAAAACATAGAAATAGAAACAAACACTACATATAACTGAATGAAATTCAGGCAAAGTTCAGTAACCACCAAGAAAATTATTGTGAAACCTAGGTATGAGAAATGGAGACTGATCATTGGGCAATTAGGAATTTCAGTTTTATGGACATGGCAACTTTTGGATTTGGGTTTTCAGTTTTTATGTCAAGAATGTGTTGTTTTTTGGATTTTGTGTCATCAACCATTTGTGATTTTCTTTTGTTTAGCCTCTGGCTTTTGGTTTCAACCAAGATCGTGGCAGATTTTTGGACTTGGTATTGCGCTTTCTCGCAGTTCTGGGCGATCTTTTTGGGGAGTGACATTTCTGATAGACCCTACAAGAAACCAAAATCTCAAATTTACTTTCCTAGATGAGGCGACAAGTATCCCCTCCGTGGGATTCCCCTCTAGGGTGTGTGTAGAGAAACTAAGACAGCACATTTTCATCAAATATTTCAATTAAGCACCCCGGGCCGGGCCGTAGGTATAGCACACGTATCACTAAAATGGGTCCCGCATTCCAATGCATAAAACATTTTTTATAATTTATATGTAAAATACAAAATTACAAATTACAGTGATTACAATAATCATAAATAGTACGACGCGCAACTAAGTGTCAACAGCATCTTACCCGAGCAAAATTTCAAAACAATTGAAATTACTTGAGAAAATCTAGCAAGCTCCTAATAAGCTTTATATAATAATAAGAAATAATCAAAGTAACTTTCAGCACCTTTCACGTGGACCTTGAACATTTAACTCGTGAATGTATATAGCTTCCAAAAGCTCAATCTCCTCAACAAGTGAATAACTGGATAGAAAATATGATTTTAGGTTAACATGCCTCAACTAAGATCGTTTAAAGCTGTGAAGAAAACGTATAATGCAAAGAAATATTGCCTTTTACCTCAACTCTCCATGATCGGCCACCGCCATATTTTGAGTTGCATATGGTTGCATCATCAGTAACTTCATGTGTGCGGGCTCAGGAGCACACAGGCAAACCAGGCAATCCAGTTACATAAGGCCCATGCTATGTAAACATCACTTACATTTCTTTTCTTCAGTTATCAAGCTATGGTTGCTGAAAAAATAACTGGAGGAATATTTCTATTTCCATTAGTACGGAAGAAGAGACACTGGCTTCCTCCAGAACAGAAACAAGAACACTACATTTCCATTTTTACGCCTGTCTTTATCTATACAAATTGCTTTCAGAACCACGGTGGACAATGATTATATTCTGAGGAAAAAGCCCTTGTAACGAAGTTGAGTTTTAAGGTATAATGTGGTCCACAGCTCGTTGTGGTGGTAAATGATATTTTCCCTTCAGTGTCCCAGTTCCATTTCAACAACTTCAGGAAACAGAAAAAGTGTGTGTAAATAATGGAGCTGACCGTTTTGCGAGATGACCAACGCGGGGGCCATAAGCAATATATAAAAAAATCTGAATTTCATAATTTGCAAGATTTAATTTTGTTCCTCTTTTCCTCACTAACGTTTAAAAAACAATTTTTCAAATTCCCGGCTTGATATTCTACTCCAAAGAAAAAAAGATGAAACTTATTTAACCTCCCTTTAAACGTCGGAGCCGACCGTCAAATACCGTACTCAAATAGCGATAACACTTTCGAATGATAATTGGCTTAATCTTTCTGCTGTTAATTAAATTTTTTGCCATAGTTTAAATTTGTGTTTGTTAAGTTCTATGCTTTTGCAATATCGTTTCAATTAATGGACATGCATGGCTTGGGTAAGCTTTTTTTCTTGAATCTGTAAATACGACAAGACTGGGACTGGGCTTCTCCTACGATGGAAGTGGTCTCACCCCAGTTTCAGAAGCTGCAAGCAGCACTTTCCCTGAAAAAAAAAAAAGCCCTAGGGAGGATGTTTTTTTCGACGACGACCAAATTGGTCCGGAAATCGTCTTTTGTAAAAATATAAGCAATTCATTTTCTGCTCGTAATGACCGCAAACACTCAAGTATAATGAAATGCAAAAGGATAACCGCACTTGAAAGATTGCATCGTATCGTTAATTATTGAACAGAAAAGGAATTGAGTAATAGTGTGATTCATTTAAAGTGTCTGTTTCACGGACACTCTTATCCAAAAGATTCTATGATGACAATCCATCTTTTTTCATACAGTTGAGCGTTCACTCCTTCATTTTTCTTATAAAAAAGCTGTTTAACGGGCACTCGTCATAGAATGACTAAGGCAAACAATTCTTAGAGAGTTTTGAAAACAGCAAGTTGACTCGTAAAATGGGCGTAAATTACAAAACAGGTGGTCTGCAAAATGCAAATTATTTGCACTCGAATATCACCACTGATCCGGGTTCCGAAGGCTTGCTGGGGGGAAAGTTATGTTTTTCTACAGTTATATGATAATTATCCGCAGATATAAGCTTAAACTTCGATAGTTTGTTTCAGTCATGACTAGTGTCAATATTTTCTCACTTAGTTGAATTTTTTCTGCAACAGTTTGTAAAGCATTCTATTTGCTTTTAGTAGCTGTAAATACAGCAGGTACCCAAGAGAGATTCAAGCACCGACGTTCAACACGTCATAATTAGTTTTCACTAATTCACTCATTCTTCCAATGAAACTACTCAATGAAAAATTGAAATCGAGGAAACCTTAAAGCAGCTGTTCCTATTTAAGAAGATCTTCTTTCGAGACCGTCTGTAGTTCGAGCTAGTCTATCAGTAGATCTTACTAAACCGGCTTAAAAATGACAGATGCGGATGACGGCATAAAATTTGAGCCCAAATCACTCTGCATTAAAATAACAGTATGCATGATAGTGCTGCTGGTTGGGGCAGCCATTTTTATGGAGTTAGAACGACAGAAGAATGACTCCACTGGAGAGACTTCACAGGCGACGATACTAAAACAAAGCTTGGCGGAAAAGTATAACATGAGTTTGACAGATCTGATGGATTTAGAAGCTGCCTTCGAACAAGAAAGAAGCAACAAGGAGGAAGCTGAGAGACTAGGTCGGTGGACCTACGGCAATTCTCTCTTCTTTGCCTTTACAATCATGACAACCATAGGTAATATAATTTTGATAACATCTTATGAGCGGGGGAAATTCATTCTAGAAGCAAAAGTATCCTTCTGATTGTAGAGCAAAAGATGACTTACACTTGCCTTGGCCTACGTTTAAGTGAAAACGGCCTCGGCATGGGTTCAGGAGTATGATAGTTCAGACTTTATTAAATTCAGATTCAGATTTCAATTGCTGGCGTTATGATATAAAAACTGGCTGAAATATTTATTTCTGTCTTGCCACTACTTAATATTAAGGTAAGATAACAATCAATGATACGTCTATATTTTTTATCTTCCACAACTATTCCAGACATGACTCAAATTAACTGTAACCTCAAGTCAGTTATTCATGATTTGATTTATTTCCTGGCCTGCGAAAAGTGCATCGTAGTTATTTACGTCGAGTTACAATTCTCGAGTTATAATGTCTTAACTAGTCAGCTGACTAGTCTAGAAGCTGATCATTGCCCACGTGATGACTTGAAATTTGCTGCAGTTGGACAAGCAGTTCAAATGTTCTTCTGTGGAAAGATCATGATATTCTTACAAACTCGTGATGTTTATAAAATGGTTGTGGCTTTTAGTTTATACTTTTGAGCCTGTAAGAAGCGCTCAAATAGTAGGGAAGAGGCGAAGAGAAGAACAGAGGAAGTAACCATCGGGGAGGGAATCGATCCAACAAGCGGCCCGGCTTCCCCATACACTTCGAGCTGCTCCCTATTTTCTTACCATAATGCCGAAATATATATAAGAGGATATCACATGACCGCGCGGAGATACGAAATATATTTAACGTCACCATGACAAAAATTATGTTAACAATATAACCAATGCAATACTTTAATACAATACTAAGTGCTTTTCGAGAAGGGTTGTGTAGTTAAAGGGAGACTACCTTTCTAACTTTACTGATATATGAGTGGGGATAATTTTTTGTATTCTTGTATTTTATTTTTACTCCATCCAATAGATAATACATTAGTTGTACAATATCAATTAGTACAAGGTTGTTTAAAGTACATGTACATGATAAAAAAAAAGAAGAAAATTAGAATGGAGAAGGGCACATTATAGAAAACTAATTATGGCCCTTTAACAAGATTAACTTTATTCTGTATAGCTTTGTTATTCATTGAAACACAAACACGCACGCACGCACACACACACGCACACAAGTCAATATTGAGCAAGCCTTTTTGAACAGGATTTTCGATGATTTATCGCGAATAGAAAGGGGAAGATCGTTCCAGTGGGTGAGTGGGGATAATCCGAAAAGCATGTATGTATCCCATTGATAAAGCGTTGCTAGGGAATAGAAGAGACGGAAAGCTCGATAGTGAAATTTGGAAAGCAAATAAAATTTAAGCCGTCGTTGTCGATATTTTATTTCTCTGCGTTAAAAACATTTCTCGCAAGCAAACAGTACGTGCTATGATTCGAGATTATTCTCTCCTGGTGTAATAAAAACTCTATGATACGATTTTTTGTTTTGATTGCAATAATCAATGACAATACGTTAAGTCTTAAAGGGAAATAAACAACAATACACGAAGTGAACAGAACTATACTCTTAACATGATAGCCCTGCACCACTTGCAACAGCGACGAGTGTAGGCCTGTGTTGCGTAACGTTGCAAAAAATACAAAACTACCAAATCAGGAGGTAAGTAATCGGCTCCTGACCGAAGGTATTTTACGACTCGGGCTGGGCCCAAGGTTCGCCCGGATAGTACAGTTTCATCTAACCCTTTCACTTCCAACGTGTTTGATGGAGTTTTGTTCGGTGACTTTAACTTTTGAGTCTGCGGACGAAATCCTATGATGTGACCATTCAAATGAAAGCTCTCTGCCTGTACTTTCACATGGCGCTAGTTATTTTTCAAAAGGAAATTTGTTCGAAATTTGCTTTTGGCTAAATTCGTCAGTGAAAGGGCTAAAGAAAGCAATCGCGCTTCCATGTCTCGTGATAATACTCCTTAATTAAGGGTTTTATCTTTTCTCACTATTTCAGGTTACGGTCATATGTCGCCCCATACCTGGCAAGGTCAGCTGTTCTGTATATTCTTCAGCCTCATTTCCATACCAGTCGCAGGTATCATGCTAATCAGCGTGGGA